GTGGTGACGCTGCTCAACGACCTGTACACCTGCTTCGACGCCATCATCGACAACTTCGACGTCTACAAGGTCTGTGCCCTTTGACCTTTAACTGTACTGACGCCGATCAGGTGGCTTTACGCTGACGCGGATCAGGCGGGTTCATACAGGAGCGACAGTGACGCGGATCAGGCGGGTTTACGCTGATGCGGATCAGGCGGGTTCATACAGGAGCGACAGTGACGCGGATCAGGCGGGTTTACGCTGATGCGGATCAGGCGGGTTTACTCTGACGCGGATCAGGCGGGTTCATACAGGAGCGACAGTGACGCGGATCAGGCGGGTTTACGCTGATGCAGATCAGGCGGGTTCATACAGGAGCGATAGTGACGCGGATCAGGCGGGTTTACGCTGATGCGGATCAGGCGGGTTTACTCTGACGCGGATCAGGCGGGTTTACGCTGATGCGGATCAGGCGGGTTTACTCTGACGCGGATCAGGCGGGTTCATACAGGAGCGACAGTGACACGGATCAGGCGGGTTTACGCTGATGCGGATCAGGCGGGTTTACGCTGATGCGGATCAGGCGGGTTTACGCTGATGCGGATCAGGCGGGTTTACGCTGACGCGGATCAGGCGGGTTTACGCTGACGCGGATCAGGCGGGTTTACGCTGACGCGGATCAGGCGGGTTTACTCTGACGTGGATCAGGCGGGTTTACTCTGACGCGGATCAGGCGGGTTTACGCTGATGCGGATCAGGTGGGTTCATACAGGAGCGACAGTGACGCGGATCAGGCGGGTTTACGCTGATGCGGATCAGGCGGGTTCATACAGGAGCGACAGTGACGCGGATCAGGCGGGTTTACGCTGATGCGGATCAGGCGGGTTTACTCTGACGCGGATCAGGCGGGTTCATACAGGAGCGACAGTGACGCGGATCAGGCGGGTTTACGCTGATGCGGATCAGGCGGGTTTACTCTGACGCGGATCAGGCGGGTTCATACAGGAGCGACAGTGACGCGGATCAGGCGGGTTTACGCTGATGCAGATCAGGCGGGTTCATACAGGAGCGATAGTGACGCGGATCAGGCGGGTTTACTCTGACGCGGATCAGGCGGGTTCATACAGGAGCGACAGTGACGCGGATCAGGCGGGTTTACGCTGATGCGGATCAGGCGGGTTCATACAGGAGCGACAGTGACGCGGATCAGGCGGGTTTACGCTGACGCGGATCAGGCGGGTTTACGCTGACGCGGATCAGGCGGGTTTACGCTGACGCGGATCAGGCGGGTTTACGCTGACGCGGATCAGGCGGGTTTACGCTGACGCGGATCAGGCGGGTTTACGCTGACGCGGATCAGGCGGGTTTACTCTGACGCGGATCAGGCGGGTTTACTCTGACGCGGATCAGGCGGGTTCATACAGGAGCGACAGTGACGCGGATCAGGCGGGTGACAGGTTTTGATGATTCTCACATTTGGATTTAACCTGTTGATAAAAGTGCTGTAAATATAAATGATAGTTCTACAGAAGGTGGAGGCGCGTACATGACCTCCCTGTGACCTCCCTCTGACCTCTGACCTCTGACCCCTGGTGCAGGTGGAGACGATCGGTGACGCGTACATGGTGGTGTCCGGGCTCCCGGTGAGGAACGGGAAACTCCACGCTCCTCAGATCGCGCTCATGTCTCTGGCTCTGCTCCGCGCCGTTGCCAACTTCACTGTTCGCCACCGTGAAGACCACAAGCTCCGCCTCCGCATCGGCATCCACAGCGGTGAGGAGGGGCCACTGCCGCCGCCGCCGCCGCCTTTACTCTAAACACCAGGCCTGGTCCTGGTCCTGGTCCTGTAGTGTTTGCCTCTGGTCTAACCCTAGTCCTGGTCTGGTTTATGCTCTGGTTCTGGTTCTGGTCTAACCGTAGTGGTGGTTCTGGTTCTGGTTGTGTAGGTCCGGTGTGCGCGGGGGTGGTGGGGCTGAAGATGCCGAGGTACTGTCTGTTTGGAGACACCGTGAACACAGCGTCCAGGATGGAGTCCACAGGAGAAGGTACGAGCCCCCTCCCCCTTTTACCTCCTCTTCTTCTTCTTCTCTCACTCTCTTCTTCTTCTCTTTTGCAGCTCTGAAGATTCATGTTTCGGAGGCGACTCGTTTGATTCTTCGTGAGTTTCCAGAGTTTGAGCTTCAGCCGCGAGGATCCGTCCAGGTCAAAGGGAAAGGAACCATGAAGACCTACTGGCTCCTGGACCAGAACCAGAACCGGGACTAGACCAGGACCAGACCAGGACCTGCTGGCTCGTGGACTGAGACTAAACCATGGTCCTTCCCCAAACCCCCGTCCCTCAGGTCCCTCAGGTCAGACTTCTGTGAGTTTAGAGTCGGTCGGTGTTTTAGCGCCACCTTCAGGCTCCTTTTAGTTTGTGTTTGTGTAGAATTAGAGTCAAATCAAATATTACATCAGAAATATTCACAAACCTTCCCTCCACACCAGAGTCTGTGGACGCTTCCTTTGCCACGCCAGATTTTCACCGGCGACACGGCGGTGCCCCCCCCCTCCTAAGCCCCGCCCCCTTCCTAAGCCCCACCCCCCTTATGGTTTTGTATTTGCTTTTTTTTAATCACCTTGTTACACGTGTTCCCCTCAGCCCCGCCCCCTCAGGCCCAAGCCCCACCCCCTCAGCTGATGGGACTCTGGGTTTGTACATAAATGTAATAAATCACTTTTTTAAAAATACTTTGTGGTTTTGTGACTGAAATACACCAAAAACACGCTTAAAGAAAAAATCTTTATGAAAACAACGTTTCAGGAAGTGCTGAAAATAAAGTGGCTCCTTCACAATAAGAGCCTCAGAAAGTTCAGTCCTTTTACAAGGAGACAAGGAGTTAGGAGTTAGGAGTCTCCTCGCTGTGGTTCAGTTTCTCCTTTTTCTCAGTTTGTTAAAAACACAGCCCCAGTGCATCATGGTAGGGACGCAGAGTTCAGTTTAGTCTTAAAAAACAAAAAATCTGTCTGTGCCAAGCTCCTCCCTTCGCCATGATCCTGGGCTGTGATTAGCCATTTGGAGGCGGGTCCTGAGTCCACGCTGCTCTGTGATTGGACGATCAGTCACTGTCAGAGCCCACCGCAGACGAACCCTTCCTCTTCCTCTTCGGAGCTTTGGGTTTGGAGTCTTCCTCCTCCTGAAGGAGACAAGGAGACATCAGAGGAGACAAGGACATAGGAAACAAGGAGACGTGTCGCTGTGTGTGTGCGTGAGGCGTCATGTGTGCGTGGTCGGCTCGTGTGCGTCTGTGTGTCTGTGCGTCTGATTGGTACCGAGGCGCTGCTGCTGGCGCTCTCCTCCTCTGTGGTTGCCGTGGCGGTGGGCGGAGCCGCTCCTTTCCGTTGGCGAGGGCTGGAGGCGGCCGCCGCTTTCCGTCGAGACTTTGGAGGTTTGCTCTGAGCGTCCTCGAACTCCTCGGCCAATGAGAAGAGGTCACTGAACCTGAAACGACCAAAACAGAAGAACGAGCAGAATCTGTGAACGAGAACTGATCGATGCATGAAGTAACTCAAGTATACGAAGTATCTGTAGTATCTGTAGTATCTGTAGTACCTCATCTTGTGGGCCTCGTCACAGCTCGCCTGCACGTGCTGCAGAGCCTGAAGAATCGGAGTCTGAGAGAAAACTGAAACAAACAACAAACAGTTACTATGGAAACGACACATGGTAAACCTTACAGCTGTTCCGGTGTGTACATAAACCTTACAGCTGTTCCGGAGTGTACATAAACCTTACAGCTGTTCCGGAGTGTACATAAACCTTACAGCTGTTCCGGAGTGTACATAAACCTTACAGCTGTTCCGGAGTGTACATAAACCTTACAGCTGTTCCGGAGTGTACATAAACCTTACAGCTGTTCCGGAGTGTACATAAACCTTACAGCTGTTCTTGACGTTGCACAGACTCAGTCGGAGATTATCCAGATGTTCCAGAATCTGCTCCAGAGTCAGTTGAGCCAGTTTACTGCTGCTACTGCGAAGACTGCACACAAATACACACAGTACTACTGTTAGTACTACTACTACTACAGGTACTGCACACAAATACACAAATACACACAGTACTACTGTTAGTACTACTAGTACTTGTAGTTCTGCTGTTACTGCACAGACTGGACACAGATCAAATCAGTGCTGCTGAGTTTATCCACACACACTCTAGTCTGGTCTAGACCTGGTTTAGACCTGGTCTAGACCTGGTCCAGTCCTGGTTCCAGTCCTGGTTCCAGTCCAGGTTCCAGTCCTGGTTCCAGTCCTGGTTCCAGTCCTGGTTCCAGTCCTGGTTCCAGTCCTGGTTCCAGTCTCGGTCTTAGTCCTGGTCTCACCTCTGTTGTTCTTGATGAGTTGAGTTTTTCTCTGAGCTTCTTGTTGTGTCTCGGTCTTAGTCTCGGTCCTGGTCCTGGTCTCAGTCCTGGTCCTGGTCTTAGTCTCGGTCCTGGTCCTGGTCTCAGTCTCGGTCCTGGTCTTAGTCTCGGTCCCGGTCCAGGTCTCACCTCTGTCTCTTCCTGGGCTGGCTGTTGTTCTTGATGAGTTGGGCTTTGATGTTTTCTCCGAGCGTCTCGTCGTGTCTCGAGGCCCAGTGTCTCAGGAGACTCGTGGTGAAATGATCCTCGGGGTGACACGGCCGAGACAAAACCATCTTCACCATCTCCTCCGAAGGTCTGAGGGAGGGAGGGAGGGAGGGAAGGAGGGAGGGAAGGAGGGAAGCAGGGAAGGAGGGAAGGAGAGGGGGATGTCAGGGGAAGACTGTGGCTCATTTGCTCCTCGTTTGTTGAAGTTCTGCAGATCGTCAACCGCGTCACACTCGTCACCCCCATCACACTTGTCACACTCGTCGCCCCCGTCACACTCGTCACATTGTCGCCCCCCGTCACACTCGTCACATTGTCGCCCCCCGTCACACTCGTCACATTGTCACCCCTGTCACACTCGCCGCCGCCCCCCGTCACACTCGTCACATTGTCGCCCGTCACACTCGTCGCCCCCCGACACACTCGTCACCCCCCGTCACACTCGTCACCCCCCGTCACACTCGTCACCCCCCGACACACTCGTCACCCCCGACACTCGTCACCCCCCGACACTCGTCACACTCGTCACCCCCCGTCACACTCGTCACCCCCCGTCACACTCGTCACCCCCCGACACACTCGTCACCCCCGACACACTCGTCACCCCGACACACTCGTCACCCCCCGACACACTCGTCACCCCCCGACACACTCGTCACCCCCCGACACCCCCGTCACACCTGTCACACTGGTCACACTGCGTGTTCTTGTGTGTGATTGGTTCTTACTTCTCTCTCCTGAGCTGCAGGAGTAAACAGGACAGAGCCTCTGGATGTTCTGAACAAAAACAACACAAATGTTAAACAACAGAACACTTTTTAACAACACTGTTTACTACTACTACATAATACTGCATACCACTACTACTACATACTACCACTACTACTGCATACTAGTAGTATGCAGTAGTAGTACTCACCCTTGTACTTGAGGTGTTGCAGTATGAGGATGATTGTTGTAGTAGTAGTAGTATTATGCAGTAGTAGTACTCACCCTTGTACTTGAGGTGTTGCAGTATGAGGATGATTGTTGTAGTAGTAGTAGTATTATGCAGTAGTAGTACTCACCCTTGTACTTGAGGTGTTGCAGTATGGGGATGATTGTTTCCAGGGGGATGCTGTGGGCGAGGAAAAGCTGCCAGGTGCTGTACTGTTCAAACGTCTCCCACTCCAACGACTGGACTGAAGAACAACACCTGTTACTACTACTACTACTACTACTACTGTAGTACTACAAGTACTACAAGTACTACTATAGTACTACAGTGCTACAAGTACTACTATAGTGCTACAAATACTACTATAGTACTACAAGTACTACTATAGTACTACAAGTACTACAGTACTATAGTGCTACATCCGATCCTGTGCAAAATAACAGGACACACACTGAACGTCTCAGAGGTCAGAGGTCACAACAATGCTCCCCAAGACTGGACTGAGGCAGGAGGGGTCAGAGGTCAGAGGTCAATGGTCAGTGTCAAGGGTTAGGGGTCAGTACATGTCCAGACTCACTGAGGATGTTGAGGACAGAATCCTTCCGGAACATCACCAGGTTTCCCATCATCACATGACACATTAGCTCCTGCAGCTGTTCAGACGCACAAACACAACACACATGAGCTCCTGCAGCTGTTCAGACGCACAAACACAACACACATGAGCTCCTGCAGCTGTTCAGATGCAGCTAAACGAGAAAAAAACAAAACACACACACCTCTCAGGTCCTCTGTGTGTCGTCTGATAAATCCTGTTACATTGTCACATATGAGGACATGTCTGTGTGTAAATGCTGTTGTGTTGTCACATATGAGGACATGTCTCTGTGTGTAAATCCTGTTGTGTTGTCACATTTGAGGACATGTCTCTGTGTGTAAATCCTGTTGTGTTGTCACATTTGAGGACATGTCTCTGTGTGTAAATGGGATTAAATGGGCAGTACACACAGAGTCTGGTTGATGTGGAATCTCCCATGTCGACCATCGGCCCAGACCGGAAACCTGTACGCCGACACGTCTCCAAGTGCCCGTATTGGCCGATAATATCACCAAATGATATATTGGTCTGGCCCTAATATGAAGTGACAGGTGCACACACAGTGACAGGTGCGGTCCTGTACCTGGGTGGAGTCGATCACGGCCACGATCATGTTGAGCAGCTCCCCGCTCCGAAGAGTCTCATCTGGAAACTACACACGACATTAACACAGATGCCCTCCCCGTGTGTCAAGTGTCAGGTGTGTGTGTGTTTCGGGGGTGTGTGTGTGTGTGTGTGTGTGTGTGTGTCGGGGGGGGGTGTGTGTGTGTGTGTGTGTCGGGGTGTGTGTGTGTCGGGGTGTGTGTGTGTGTGTGTCAGGGGGTGTGTGTGTGTGTCGGGGGGTGTGTGTGTCGGCGGGGTGTGTGTGTGTGTGTCGGGGGTGTGTGTGTGTGTGTGTCGGGGGTGTGTGTGTGTGTGTGTGTGTGTGTGTGCGTGGGGTGTGTGTGTGTGTCGGGGTGTGTGTGTGTGTGTGTCGGGGGTGTGTGTGTGTGTGTGTGTGTGGGGTGTGTGTGTGTGTGTGTCGGGGTGTGTGTGTGTGTGTGTCGGGGGTGTGTGTGTGTGTGTGTCGGGGGTGTGTGTGTGTGTGTGTGTGTGTCGGGGGTGTGTGTGTGTGTGTGTGTGTCGGGGTGTGTGTGTGTGTGTCAGGGGTGTGTGTGTGTGTGTCAGGTGTGTGTGTGTGTGTCGGGGGTTGTGTGTGTGTGTCGGGGTGTGTGTGTGTGTGTGTGTGTCGGGTGTGTGTGTGTGTGTGGGTGTGTGTGTGTGTGTGTTGGGGGTGTGTGTGTGTGTGTGTGTGTCGGGGGTGTGTGTGTCGTGCCTCGGTGTAGATGGAGGGCGTGAGGAAGCAGAGCAGTCGGACGTCGTCTTCCTGACAGGCCTTCATGTCCATCATGAGGCAGGTGTGCAGGTCCCCGAGCGCCGTCGCCTGAGCAAACGACTCGTACAGAAGCATCTTTCCATTCGCCGCTTTACTGCACGATGAAGAGGAGGAGGAAGAAGAGGAAGAAGAAGAAGAGGAGGAGGTGGAGGAGGTGGAGGAGAGCATAAGACAAATAACACCAACACAGAGCTTTAGAAGAAGAAGAGAATAAAACAACACCTGGTCTAGACCCGGTCTAGACCTGGTCTAGGCCCGGTCTGGGACTCACCTGGCCTTCAGGTAGTAGAGCAGGTGGTATCCGATCTTGGGCTGTTTCTGGTAAAGTTCTGCGAGGAGCTCGAGCAGAACAGAGAAGCCGCTGTTGTCCTCCTGCATCAGGACCAGGTTCCTGAAGATCAAACACACGGGCTTCCCCACGGACTCCTCCAGAGACCTGCACAAAGACCAGGACTAAACCAGGACTAACCCCACGGACTCCTCCAGAGACCTGCACAAAGACCAGGACTAAACCAGGACTAACCCCACGGACTCCTCCAGAGACCTGCACAAAGACCAGGACTAAACCAGGACTAACCCCACGGACTCCTCCAGAGACCTGCACAAAGACCAGGACTAAACCAGGACTAACCCCACGGACTCCTCCAGAGACCTGCACAAAGACCAGGACTAAACCAGGACTAAACCAGGACTAACCCCACGGACTCCTCCAGAGACCTGCACAAAGACCAGGACTAAACCAGGACTAAACCAGGACTAACCCCACGGACTCCTCCAGAGACCTGCACAAAGACCAGGACTAAACCAGGACTAAACCAGGACTAAACCAGGACTAAACCAGGACTAGTATAGTAGCATTAGCAGTAGTACTACTATTAATACTACTACTACGAGAACCAGCAGTAGCATTAGTAGTATTAGTAGTAGTACTATTGGTAGTACTAGTAGTTTTCATAGTATCCGTAGTACTAGTAATAGTATTGTAGTAAAAGTACTGACTCGTCTGTGATCTCATCCGGTAACACGTCTCCTCTGAAATGTTCTTTAAAAAGCTCCGACAAACAACAGGCCAAAGCCAACATCTGCTCCTGGTCAAAGTCCTCCTGAGGACACAAGGACACATCAGAGGATACATCAGAGGAGACAAGTGAGGACAGAAGGACACATCAGAGGACACAAGTGAGGACACAAGGAGACACGTGAGGACACAAGTGAGGACACAAGGACACATCAGAGGAGACAAGTGAGGATACAAGGACACACCAGAGGACACAAGGAGACAAGTGAGGTCACAAGGAGACATGTGAGGACACAAGGAGACATGTGAGGAGGCGGTTCTTACCTCCAAAACCTGGTCGACGATTTCCTGCATCACTTCACACTGAGTCTCTGTGTCACTGAAACAAACACACACATTACACACACACTACACACACACATTACACACACACATTACACACACACATTACACACACACACATTACACACACACACACACACATTACACACACACACACACACACACATTCACACACACACACACACACACACACACACACACACACACACACATTACACACACACACACATTACACACACATTACACACACACACATTACACACACACACATTACACACACATTACACACACACACACACACACACATTACACACACACATTACACACACACATTACACACACACATTACACACACACATTACACACACACACACACACACACACACTTACACACACACACACATTACACACACACACACACATTACACACACACACACACATTACACACACACACACACATTACACACACACACACACACACACACACATTACACACACATTACACACACACACACACATTACACACACATTACACACACACACACACATTACACATTATACACACACACACACACACACATTACACATTATACACACACACACACACACTACACATTATACACACACACACACACACATTACACATTACACACACACACATTACACACACACACACACACACACACACATTACACACACACACCACACATTACACACACACACACACATTACACACACACACACACATTACACACACACACACACACACACACACACACACACACACATTACACACACATTACACACACACACACATTACACACACACACACACACACACACACACACACATTACACACACATTACACACACACACACACACATTACACACACACACACACACACACATTACACACACACACACACATTACACACACATTACACACACACACACATTACACACACATTACACACACACACATTACACACACATTACACACACACACACACATTACACACACACACACACATTACACACACACATTACACACACACACATTACACACACACATTACACACACACACACACACATTACACACACACACATTACACACACACACACACACACACACTACACACACATTACACACACATTACACACACAAACACATTACACACACACACACACACACACATTACACACATTACACACACATTACACACACACACACACACTACACACACAGACACATTATACACACACACACACACACACATTACACACACACATTACACACACAGACACATTATACACACACACACACATTACACACACACACACATTACACACACACACACACATTACACACACACATTACACACCTGGTCTTCTGCAGCTGCTGCACTTTGTCCTTCATGCTGTCCTCTAATTGGTCGAGCCAGGGTGTGATGTCAGCGGGCTCCTCCACCACGGCCTCTCTGATTGGATGAAACCGGAACTCACGCTTCTTTCCTGAAACGGGATTGGTTCAGACCAGAGCAGCCACAGCAGTAGTAGTACTGCAGTAGTAGTAGTATTGTAGTAGTACTGTAGTAGTAATACAGTAGTAGTAGTATTGTAGTAGTAGTAATAGTAGTATTAGTATTGTAGTAGTAGTAGTACTGTAGTAGTACTGTAATAGTACTGTAGTAGTACGTGTACCTTTTGTACTGAGCTCTTCTTCGTCGTCTGAAAACGCCGCCTCTGTGTTGTCGTAACACGTCTCATCTTTGTCCAAAAGGTGCGAGTCCAACAGAGACGAGTCCTCACACTTCACTAAGGACAGAGGACACAAGGACACAAGGGGTTAGGAGAGAGGAGACGAGTCCTTACACTTCACTGAGGACAGAGCACAGAGAGGACAGTGCAATACCTTCAGCGGGAGGAGAGGGGGCGCTGCAGAACTCGGGGAAGCGTTCCCTCAGCATGGCTCTGAGCTCTCGGTCCAGTTTGGGATTATCAAACAGAGGAGCCAAGTGCCTGGGGTTTAACACACAACATCATTATTACAATACAGGGCCAAGTGCCTGGGGTTTAACACACCTTATTACAACAATATTTGAACTTGAGTAAAACAAACAGAGGCTCAGAGCCGGGGTCAGAGGTCAGGGGTCAGGAGTTAGGAGTTTAGGGGTTAGAGTTTAGGAGTTAGGGGTTTAAGGGGTTAGGGTTTAGGGGTCAGGAGTTAGGGGTTTAGGGATTAGGAGTTTAGGGGTTAGGAGTAAGGAGCTAGGGTTTAGGGGTTAGGGGTCAGGAGCTAGGGTTTAGGGGTTAGGGGTCAGGAGCTAGGGTTTAGGGGTTAGGGGTCAGGAGTTAGGGGTTTAGGGATTAGGAGTTTAGGGGTTAGGGGGTTAGGGGTCAGGAGTTAGGGTTTAGGGGTTAGGGGTCAGAAGTTAGGGTTTAGGGGTTAGGGGTCAGGAGTTAGGAGTTTAGGGGTTAGGGGTCAGGAGTTAGGGTTTAGGGGTTAGGGGTCAGGAGTTAGGGTTTAGGGGTTAGGGGTCAGGAGTTAGGGTTTAGGGGTTAGGGGTCAGAAGTTAGGGTTTAGGGGTTACAGATGTGAGACTCACGCCAGGACCCTCTTCTCCATGATGAAGGTGAGAGAGTTTACAACACCCTGACGAACCTGACACTCCAGAGGAGGAAAGAAGTGAGGGATGATCTGGAACACAACACAGACGAGTGAGACACACAGAGACACACAGAGAGTGTGTGTGTGTGTGTGAGCGTGTGTGTGTGTATGCGTGTGTGTGTATGCGTGTGTCTGTGTGTGAGCGCGTGTGTGTCTGTACGTGTGTGTGTGAGCGCGTGTGTGTGCGTGTAATGCCACACTGCGGGACATGTCACACTGACCCTGCACATGAAGTCGAGCAGAGTGGCTGTGATGGCGGGATGAGGCTTCATGGAGTGATGCATCACCAGGATCGCTGGCTCTGGAGGTCACACAGAGGTCACACAGAGGTCACACAGAGGTCAAATTATTAGTGTGTGTGTTGTGTGTTGTACTGACCTATATTCATGATACTGTCTTTCTCGGGATTGAAGAAGAGCCAATCGTAGAACAGCGCCAGTTTGGCGTTGGACGCCGCCACGTTCGACTGGACACAAAAACACACACACAGGCGTTGATATGTTTACACAGAAACACACACAGAAACACACACACACACAAACACATGTTTATGTTTACACACACACGTATTTGTAGTGGGGACCCCAGACCAAAGAAAAGGTCCCACATTGCAGGTTGTCAGGAACCAGCCGATGATGGCCCAACAGGGCAGGATGTGACGGGTTTGGGTCGGGGTCAGGGGTCGGGGTTTGGGTTGGGGTCAGGGTCGGCGTTACCGTGCAGGTCGTCAGAAGCCAGCCGATGATGGCCCAGCGGGGCAGGATGTCGGAGCTGAGCACTTCGTTGGACGGGTGCACGACTCCGCAGATGTAGCGGATCAGGTCACAGCGCAGAGACTGAGACTCGGCCGTCGACAGGTACTGCCTCTGGAACCAGTCCTGGTACCGCTTCTGCTGCCCAAACCGCACCTGACGCACAACACGCACAACACAACACACACACACACACACACACACCTGTTATAACTACACCCAGAGTACTACTCCTATAACTATCATTACTACTACAGTACTGCCTCACTCTGGACGTCATGAAGAGCAGTACTCTAGTAGTGGTACTGCAGTAGTATTTGTAGTACTGGTAGTATTTGCAGTAGTAGTACTTGTACTCACTCTGGACGTCATGAAGAGCAGTTTGGTTTCCATGTCGGGCGTCAGGCGACACGCCAAGAACTTCCTGGACGTCCGAGACGTGAGGAGCTGCAGGATCCCTGAGACCAGAGACCAGACCGGGATCAGAACCAGACCGGAGAGACCCCGCTGTCTGTGTGTGTGTGTGTCTGTGTGTGTGTGTTACAGGTGCATTGTGGGTAGTGGAGTCTTACCTGTGAAGCCGGGGCTGAGACTCTGGGGGTTGTGGAGCAGGTCTCTCCACAGAAGCTCCATCTCTGGGATCCGAGCCACGTTCTGCAGAAGACGCACCAGGTCTCTGCCAATCACCACACACTCCATGAACTACAAAAACAACCAGGAAATATTTGAGAAAACTACAAAAACACACACTCCATGAAGGAAAAGAAAGAAAGAAGAAAGGGAAAAGTCAGTGGAGTCAGAAAAACTAGCCCAGGTCCAGTCGTGGTTCAGTCCCAGACCTTCTCCCAGAGCAGATGGTTTGTCTTAGTCCAGTCCTGGTTCAGCACTTCTCTTGGAGTATGCAAAGAGTCTAGTCCCGGTCCAGTCCCGGTCCAGTACCTTCTCTCGGAGCATGCAGATGCAGAAGTCGACCTCCTTCTGTCTGAGGCTCAGGAGGTTTGGGGCTCCGTGGTCCACGATGAGTCTGAGATACGTGTAGACGGCCATGGACACGAGCATCCCGCTCTTCAACACCCACTCCCTGTCAAACATTATATATATATGAATATAAATATATACACACACATATATGGCAAACTGCCATCTAATAGATAACATTAAAAAGTCTTTGGACCAAGGTAATGTAGTTGGGGCAGTGTTTCTTGACCTAAAAAAGGCCTTTGAAACGGTCAATCATAGTATTTTATTGGGTAAGTTACATCAGTTCAATTTTGCAAAGGAAATTGTTAAATGGTTCTCATCATATATTAAAGGGAGAATCCAGTGTGTGAGAACCCAGTGTGTTCGGGTAAATGGTGTCACTTCTCAACAACGAGCCAATCCCTTTGGGGTGCCACAGGGGTCTGTACTTGGCCCCTTGCTTTTTTCCTTATATATTAATGACCTCCCTCAATGCTGTCCTACTGTTAATGTTCTGATGTTTGCTGATGACACTGTGTTGTATGTATCTTCAAAAACACCTGCTCAGGCTGTTGCCCACCTGAGTCATGCCTTACAACTTGTCTCAAAATGGCTTAGTGTGTCACACCTGACTTTGAATGTGAAAAAAACAGTTTCTCTTTGTTTTTCAGTGCGTACACAAACAAAAAACTGTGACTTTGAAGTGACTATGCACAATGAGAAAATTCAAGCCGTCAGTGAAGTTATTTCTCATTCTAAATGAAAATTTAAAATTTACTGGTCACACAAAATACTTGGTGAAGAAGATTAAGATTAGTCTGAGTTGCTTTCGTTTCATACGTAAAGATCTATCGCTCCACACTTCTAAAATATTCATGAACGCAATGATCTTCTCTCATCTGTCTTATTGTATCACTTCATGGTCCCAGGCTCCTCAACTACATTAAAACCGCTTTGTTCATTATACAAACTGACCCTTAAGATCTTTGACAAAAAGCCCAAAAACTGGCACCACTGTGAAATTACAAAGAAACATCAACTTTTTAACTTTGAAAATTTTATAAATTTTAACAATCTTAAATTATTTTTTAAGTGTCTCGCAATACACCATTACACTCAGAATTTGCCAGGACCATAAAATGTTCACACAGAACGAACACAAGAGGCGCTACTAGTGGTAATTGTGTTGTTCCTCGGTACAGGACGACTCTTGGTCAGTCCTCGTTCTCTTTTAAAGGGCCTAGTCTGTGGAACGGTTTAACAGCTCATTTAAAATTGGAAACCAACTACAACAAATTTAAAAGGAAATTAAAGTTATTGTATGTTTCCAGTCAAAACTGCATCCACTAAAATCTACTGTATATATTTTATCTGTATGTAATTTATGTGTCTTGTACTTTCTGTTTTTATGCATGTAGTTTATATTTTTATATGGACAGGTGTTGAAAACTAGCACTTGTGCTAAAACACTCAAAGCAATGCATCTGGCTTGTCTAATGCGATTGTGATGTCCTTAATAAACATAAAAAAAAAAATAAATATATATATATATATATATATATATATATATATATATACACACACACCCCACACACACACACACACTCCCAGTCAAACATTGTACATATATAAATAAATAATATATACACACACACACGGCTGTATATACTCTCTTTATACTCTGTTCTTATTATTTATTCACACACACTCGTTGTGCGTTGCACTAATGAAACTCGTGCACATCACTGCTGTGTTCAGTTTTGTGTTGTGTTTTTGTGTGTTTATGCAGAATTGTCGTGTGGAATAGAAGTGGAATAATAATAAGAAGAAGTGTAAAATAAAAACATAATAAAGACATAATGATGGTACTTTTGGTCGAGGAGGATGTCCAGGGCGCTCTCAGCCAACCACAGGTTCTTACTGGAGACATCTCCCCCTGAAACACAGACAAGAACCACGAGGAGAACCATAAGAGCCACGAAGAGAACCATGAAGAGAACCACAAAGAGAACCACAAAGAGAACCACGAAGAGAACCACAAAGAGAACCACAAAGAGAACCACGAAGAGAACCACGAAGAGAACCACGAAGAGAACCACAAAGAGAACCACGAAGAGAACCACAAAGAGAACCACAAAGAGAACCATGAAGAGAACCAAAAAGAGAACCAAAAAGAGAACCATGCAGAGAACCAAAAAGAGAACCACGCAGAGAACCATGCAGAATAAGAGGAGAACTGGGCTGCAGGATGTTCTCTGATCTGTTCTGCTGTGGTCTCCTGGACTCTTGTTTTGTTTCATTCACATGTTTCACACACAAACCTGCACATTTACACGAGTTCCACCTTGTGATGTCATCATGTGGTGATACAGGAAATGCTCCACTGTGTTTTTAAACTCCACACACCTTCACTAGAATCATCTGGATCATTTCAGTCCTGGAGTTGTCGATCTCGACTGAACTAAAGGGAAAAGGAGCTGTCCACTTGATGACATCACACGGTGGAGCAGAGCGTTTAGAGCTTTGCAGATGGAGAGAGACTCAGAATAAAGATTTACTCAAACAAACACGACTCCAGCTCTGAGTGTGAGGAGATGATGATGGAGCAACGTGCTCCAGTGTTTCTGACCTGCGATCTGTTTGAGCAGCGTCATCAGGACTCCATCTGCTCCCATCACCCCGGTCTTCACCAGCTCCCGCACCAGCCACACCACCTGCACAAACAAACAACATACAATCAATCATGTATAATCTATCATCTATAATCTACACCGCACCAGCCACACCACCTGAGGACAATACAATATACAATCAATCATCTATAATCTATAATATATAACCTATAATCTACACCGCACCAAGGGTTACAAGTGTGTACAGGTGCGTGTGTGTACAGGTGCGTGTGTGTACAGGTGCATGTACCTGTGTGCGTGGCTGGTCCTGCAGTTTGAGGAACTTCTCCATCAGGATCTGGTTCATTTTAACCAAAACGATGTTCATCCCATCTCTGTTCACCAGAGTCAAGTCTCTGTAACTCTGACGGAACAAACGCACAAATACACACACACACACAAACAAACACACACAGCAGCAGTTTTAGATCAAAACTAAAATCAAAGTCTGATTCTAATAGTCAGTGACCTCTGAGCAGTACGAGTACAAGCTGTAGTAATAATATTTGTAGTAGCAGTAGTAGTAGTATTAGTATTTGTAGGAGTAGTAGTAGTGGTACTCACCCTCTGGGCCTGGGCAGGTTCTGTGAGGATCAGAGTAAATAAACCCAGACACACTTCCTCATGCTGCTGCTGCCCCTTACACACCTGTAACACAAAACACACACAACTGTAACACAACACACACAACTGTAACACAACACACACACACACAACTGTAACACAACACACAACTGTAACACAAAAGACACACAACTGTAACACAAAAGACACACAACTGTAACACACAACACACAACAACTGTAACACAACACACACACAACTGTAACACAAAACACACACAACTGTAACACAAAACACACACAACTAACACACAACTGTAACACAAAACACACACAACTGTAACACAAAACACACACAACTGTAACACAACTGTAACACAAAACACACCCCTGTAACACAACAACAACAACAACACACACACACCTGTAACAACACACACAACTGTAACACAAAACACACAACTGTAACACAAAACACACAGAACCGTAACACAACACACACAGAACTGTAACACAACACACACACCTCTAACACAACACACACACCTGTAACACAACACACACACACTAACACAACACACACACACACACACCTGTAACACAAAACACACACAACTGTAACACAAAACACACAACTGTAACACAAAACACACAGAACCGTAACACAACACACACAGAACTGTAACACAACACACACACCTCTAACACAACACACACACCTGTAACACAACACACACACCTCTAACACAACACACACACACACCCACCTGTAACACAAAACACACACAACTGTAACACAAAACACACCCCTGTAACACAACACACACACACCTGTAACACAACACACACACACACTTGTAACACAACACACCCACACACCTGTAACACACACACACACACACACACAACTGTAACACAACACACACACACTTGTAACACAACACACCCACACACCTGTAACACACACACACACACACACACACACAACTGTAACACAACACACAAACCTGTAACACAACACACACAACTGTATCACAACACACAAACTTGTAACACAACACACATACAACTGTAACACACACACACAACTGTAACACAACACACACACCTGTAACACACACACGTAAATGACAGGTACACTGCAGACAGGTGAACAGGATGATTATTAAGGAGGGGAGGGGAAAATGAGACAGGTGAGAGACAGGTGAAGGACAGGTGAAGGACAGGTGAAGGACAGGTGAAGGACAGGTGAGAGACAGGTGATTGACAGGTGAAGGACAGGTGAGAGACAGGTGAGAGACAGGTGAAGGACAGGTGAAGGACAGGTGTGAGACAGGTGATTGACAGGTGATTGACAGGTGATTGACAGGTGTGAGACAGATGAGTGACAGGTGAGACAGGTGAGAGACAGGTGTAGGACAGGTGAGTGACAGGTGAGTGACAGGTGTAGGACAGGTGAGTGACAGGTGAGAGACAGGTGTAGGACAGGCGAGTGACAGGTGAGTGACAGGTGAGTGACAGGTGTAGGACAGGTGTAGGACAGGTGTAGGACAGGTGAGTGGCAGGTGAGCGGTCCTTACGTTGGCGGTCAGAGCGTCGTTTGCTTCTCGCTCTGACAGTCCGTTGGTCAGAGACTGAACGATCCCCACACAGCGCTCCAGCCTCTGCAGGACACACAGGGACAGAGACTCAGGGACAGAAACTCGGGGACAGAAACTCGGGGACAGAGACTCGGGGACAGAGACTCGGGGACAGAGACTCGGGGACAGAGGCCCGGGGACAGAGGCCCGGGGACAGAGGCTCGGGGACAGAGGCCCGGGGACAGAGGCCCGGGGACAGAGGCCCGGGGACAGAGACAGTCTCTTATTGCTCGAGCCTCTGCAGCACAAACATGGACTAAACTTGAAGAGCATTTGTCAAACAGAAAGAGTCGAGACAAAACAGATGCCACAGGTTTGTCTCATGTGTCCAATGTCTCACATATATGTCTTATACGTCTCATATATACGCTCTATGTTTTGTCTAGAAACAGAATGTAAATGTGTTTTATTATTTTTACATTTAAAAGAGACACTCCAGAGACTCCAGAGACTCCAGACTCCAGAGACCCAAACGTCCCGAGTTTTTTTCTGTAAACAAACACCAAAACCCGGAGCTGTGCAGTTTTTACATTTCAAACAGAGGCGTTTTTGTGGACATTATAATTCTATACAATAACGAGATCTCACAGTTTGGACTTGGACAGAACATTTATGGACTCTACGGACACAAACGGAACCAGAGACACAGACGCTGAGGTTCTGTTCAGCTCACGCTCCGCTCATGTTTACTACTGTTAGCATGCTAGGCTAACAGCCCAGGCTAAACCGGGCTAAACAAGACTCCGAGACCGCCCCACGGCTCTGTTCTGACCCGAACCAAGGTCCACATCCCAGAGGACCAGTACCGGTCCCAGACCGGCCCCAGACCGGCCCCAGACCGAGCCGAGGCCGTGAGGTCTGCCCGGGCTGAGCCTCTTCACCCCGGCCACAGGAGCTAGCTGTTAGCGGTTAGCCGTTAGCTCGTTTCTCTGTCAGTTTAAAGACTAAAGTTTGAGTTTGAGTTCGGCCGAACTCTGGCCCGGATCAGTCCGCCTCCGAGCCGCGGGGTCGGGCTCAGGTTCGGGGCTTACCTCCTCCAGCTCGTCCTTGGCGTCCAGCGGGGTGGACAGCAGCAGGCGGCCCTGGGGCTTGGCTTTGGCCGGGGAAGGCTCCATGTGCGCGGCGGGGCTCGGGCTCTGCTCCCGGGGCCGCGGCTCCGCTCCGGGTCGGTCCCGGTGTGGTTCTGTCCCGGTGGGTCTCGGGGGCGGCGGGTCTCAGGGGGAAACGTGAGTGTCTTTGTCCGCTTGTGGAGCTCTCTCCCGGGGCTCGGGGTTTGAGTCGCGCCGCTGCGCTGGAGCTTTTCAGCCGAAAACAGACAGAGGAGCCCGGGCAGCACCGCCACCGTCCGGCCTGGACCAGCACAGCTGGGGGACAGGACACAGAGGAGGACAGAGGACAGAGGACAGAGGACAGGGGACACGGGGACACGGGGACACTGGGGCGTAGAGAAACACAACTTTAGAAAAATGTAAAACCAAAGACAGTGTTTGTCCCAATTCACAGAATAAAAGTCCCATTTCCTGCGCAAGAGTCAATCAGAAACAGTTTTATGGACCGTGATTTGAAAACGAGCTGCGTTTAATAAATAAAAACATAAACAAACGATTATAAAATACACAATAAAAGTAAATAAAACAAAATAATGTGGATGTCTTGACGTTTCGCCTACGTCACGCTCCATCCGGCGCACCCCGGAAGTGCATCTCTGCCGCGGTAAATTCACGGAAGTGTTTTTAGACCCATTATTAAAACATGATTTATTCATATTTTCTGTTTAAATCCGCGCGGTGAGTCTCGGCTCTGGTCCTGGGATCTGCGGAGGACGCAGGACACACCGGAGACTTCCGCGGTTTAGGCCCGGGCTCTGTCTCTGTCCCGGGTGAGTTTTGTTCAAACACCGGTGTTAGCCTTTAGCCTCCGGAGCTAACGGCGGAGCTAACGGTGGCTAATGCTACCGAGTGTAAACAGTGACCCTCCCGCCGCCTCTGGACTCACAAACTGCAACTAAACCTGGGACAAAACACAGCTCTGCCGGTTATTATTATTATTATTATTATTATTATTATTATTATTACTATTAGTTTTTTTTCTAAACGCGTTGAAATTCAGCTTAGATTGTTTGTTAAAGTTTATTCATTTAAGCTTTGTGATAGTGTTACATAAATGATATATGATATATATATATAATAATCACGTGGATGAGTTCAAATCCATCTTCAGAAACAGTTCTTTAAACCGGGGCATTCACAGTGAGACTGAAAACTCTAAATGTTTTCAGGAGTTTTTTCCTCCAGACAGAAGCACAACTTTTTCTGTTTTCTAAATAAGAAATTGCAGGATTTAAAGGACGTGTATGTAAGATTTTAAAAGTCATAAACTGGACGCTCTCTGTGTCTCTGGAGACGACGTGAACATGTTCAGATCAAACGTGAACTTTTACTCGTCGTAAAACTGAAAAACTGATTTATTGTAATTACAAAAACACTGTAGGTGTCACATTTTGTTTATGTTATAATTTAGTGTTTTGGTTTAAGATGATTATCCAATCAGAACGCAGGATGAGCCTCACATGACTCAGTTTTTGTGTTAAACACAGGACAGGTTCATTTTCATCAAGTCCCAGTGACGGTCTGATGTGAACCAGCACCTGCTGCAGTACGAGCTAGTGCAGCCTCTGCAGCTCACAGGGGAGTCTGGAGGTTGTGAGGTTCACATGAGGCCGGTCGCACCTGGACGTGTCTCTGTGGCAGGTGAAGTTTCAGGGGACACGGGGTCAGAGGTCAGAGGAGACGGGACTCGGCTCCAGTTTCATCTCGTCTGTTTTGTTTCATGGTCTCGTCTCGTCTCTTTTCCCCTCAGAGGTCAGAGGTCATGCCCCAAAATGAACCCCGCCCGAAAACGCCTCAAACTTTCCCACAATGCACCTCCTCCTCGAGCATCAGGAGGCGGGACCACGGACGAGGAGGACGAGTTCCTATTGGTCGAAGAGGACGCTACAGACTCCAGCCTCATCATCACCATGGGTCTGTCCACAACAAAACTGTCGCTTTCTCCACCGACCAAACACCCGCCAGTATCGATACTCAACCAGTATCGATACTCAACCAGTATCGATACTCAACCAGTATCCACACTCAACCAGTATCGATACTGGTTCAGTATCGATACGATACTTGTCCAGTATCGACACTGTGTGCTTTTCGATGCTTTTGAAGCCCCACCCCCCCAGCCTCTGTAGACCGGTTGAGATCCAGGTGAGACTGGTCTAACCTGGGTCCGTTTCAGACGGGAGCCGGGTGAAGGCGAGGAGGAAGAGGAGGAAACAGACTGAAGACGAAGGAGGTGGGGCTTCAGAGAGTGAGCCCGAGATTGACAGGCAGCTCGACCAATCATTGGAAACCAAATCCAAACAGCACAACCTCACAGCCGCCAACGTCAAGACCATCCTCCACGTGAGAACTCAACCAGGACCAAACCAGGACTCAACCAGGACTCAACCAGGACTAAACCAGGACTAAACCATCCTCCACGTGAGAACTCAACCAGGACTAAACCAGGACTCAACCAGGACTCAACCAGGACTAAACCATCCTCCACGTGAGAACTCAACCAGTACTCAACCAGGACTCAACCAGGACTCAACCAGGACTTAAACCAGGACTAAACCAGGACTAAACCATCCTCCACGTGAGAACTAAACCAGGACTAAACCAGGACTAAACCAGGACTCAACCAGGACTCAACCAGGACTCAACCAGGACTCAACCATCCTCCATGTGAGAACTCAACCAGGACTCAACCAGGACTCAACCAGGACTAAACCAGGACTAAACCAGGACTAAACCAGGACTCAACCAGGACTCAACCAGGACTAAACCATCTTCCACGTGAGAACTCAACCAGGACCAAACCAGGACTCAACCAGGACTCGACTATCCTCCACATGAGAACTCAACCAGGACTAAACCAGGTCTAAACCAGGTCTAAACCAGGACTCAACCAGGTCTAAACCAGGACTCAACCAGGTCTCAACCAGGACTCAACCAGGACTCAACCAGGACTCAACCAGGACTCAACCAGGACTAAACCATCTTCCACGTGAGAACTCAACCAGGACTCAACCAGGACTCAACCAGGACTCAACCAGGACTAAACTATCCTCCACGTGAGAACTCAACCAGGACTCAACCAGGACTCAACCAGGACTCAACCAGGACTCAACCAGGACTAAACCAGGACTAAACAAGGACTAAACCATCCTCCACGTGAGAACTCAACCAGGACTAAACCAGGACTCAACCAGGACTCAACCAGGACTCAACCAGGACTCAACCAGGACTCAACCAGGACTAAACCATCCTCCACATGAGAACTCAACCAGGACTAAACCAGGTCTAAACCAGGACTAAACCAGGACTAAACCAGGACTAAACCAGGGCTAAACTGGGTCTAAAGCGGGTCTAAAGCGGGTCTAAAGCGTGTCTAAAGCGGGTCTAAAGCGGGTCTTGTTGCAGGAGGTGATCACTAACGAACACGTGGTGGCGATGATGAAGGCGGCGATCAACGACACCGAAGCCCCGCCTCCTTTTGTGAGTGATGACATCATGAGGTGAGGTCCAATCAGAGCTCGGCGCTGATCATGTGACTGTTTCAGGAACTGAAGATGACGCGCTCGAAGCTGAAGGAGGTGGTGGAGCGCGGCGTGGTGAGTGCAGGGGTCAGAGGTCAGAGGGTGTGGTGAGTGCAGGGGTCAGAGGTCAGAGGGCGTGGTGAGTGCAGGGGTCAGAGGTCAGAGGGCATGGTGAGTACAAGGGTCAGAGGTTGGAGGGCATGGTGAGTACAGAGATCAGAGGGCATGGTGGGTCAGAGGTCAGGGGTCAGAGGGCGCGGTGAGTTCAGGGTCAGGGGTCAGAGGGCGTGGTGTGTATTCTCTCCTCTGATTGGCTGCTCTGTGTCAGGTGATCCCGGCCTGGAATCTGTCTCCCATAAAGAAATCCAACGACGCCAACAAGGTACAACCTCCTCCTCCTCTCCTCCTCCTCTCCTCCTCCTCCTCCTCCTCCTCCTCCTCCTCCTCCTCCTCCTCTCCTCCTCCTCTCCTCCTCCTCCTCCTCCTCCTCCTCCTCCTCCTCCTCCTCCTCCTCTCCTCCTCCTCCTCCTCCTCCTCCTCCTCCTCCTCCTCTCCTCCTCTCCTCCTCCTCTCTCCTCCTTTCCTAGCCTCCTCAGTTCGTGTCCTTGTGTCCTTTCCTAGCCTCCTCAGTTCGTGTCCTTGTGTCCTTTCCTAGCCTCCTCAGTTCGTGTCCTTGTGTCCTTTCCTAGCCTCCTCAGTTCGTGGACTTGCCTTTGGCTGATGAAGACTCCTCAGATGAAGAGTACAAACCCGACGAAGACGAGGAGGACGAGACGGCCGAAGACGTGAGACAAACTTTACTGTTTTTAAAGATACTGCCCCTGTGCTCTTGAGCCTGACACTTCCTCTGTGTGTGTGTGTGTGTATAGTGTGTATAATGTGTGTGTGTGTGTGTGTGTGTATAGTGTGTGTGTGTGTGTGTGTGTGTATAGTGTGTATAATGTGTGTGTGTGTGTGTGTATAGTGTGTGTGTGTGTATAGTGTGTGTGTGTGTATTGTGTGTGTGTATAGTGTGTATAATGTGTGTGTGTGTGTATTGTGTGTGTGTTTGTGTGTGTGTGTGTGTGTGTGTGTATAGTGTATAGTGTGTATAATGTGTGTGTGTGTGTATAGTGTGTGTGTGTGTATAGTGTGTGTGTGTATAGTGTGTGTATTGTGTGTGTGTATAGTGTGTGTGTGTGTGTATAGTGTGTGTATAGTGTGTGTGTGTGTATAGTGTGTGTGTGTATAGTGTGTGTATTGTGTGTGTGTATAGTGTGTATAATGTGTGTGTGTGTGTGTATTGTGTGTGTGTTTGTGTATAGTGTGTGTGTGTGTGTGTATAGTGTGTATAATGTGTGTGTGTGTGTGTATAGTGTGTATAATGTGTGTGTGTGTGTATAGTGTGTATAATGTGTGTCTGTGCGTGCGTGCGTGTGTGTATAGTGCGTGTGTGTGTGTATAGTGCGTGTGTGTATAGTGTGTGTGTATAGTGTGTGCGTGTGTGTGTGTGTATAGTGTGTGTGTGTGTGTGTATAGTGTGTATAATGTGTGTGTGTGTGTATGTGTGTATAATGCGTGTGTGTGTATAGTGTGTGTGTGTGTATAGGGTGTATAATGTGTGTGTGCGTGTGTGTGTATAGTGCGTGTGTGTGTGTGTATAGTGTGTGTGTGTGTGTGTATAGTGTGTATAATGTGTGTGTGTGTATATGTGTATAATGTGTGTGTGTGTGTGTGTATAATGTGTGTGTGTGTGTGTATAGTGTGTATAATGTGTGTGTGTGTGTGTGTGTATAGTGCGTGTGTGTGTGTATAGTGTGTGTGTGTGTGTGTATAGTGTGTATAATGTGTGTGTGTGTGTGTGTATAGTGTGTATAATGTGTGTGTGTGTGTATAGTGTGTATAATGTGTGTCTGTGCGTGTGTGTGTGTGTATAGTGCGTGTGTGTGTGTGTGTATAGTGCGTGTGTGTGTATAGTGTGTGTGTATAGTGTGTGCGTGTGTGTGTGTGTGTATAGTGTGTGTGTGTGTGTGTGTGTATAGTGTATAATGTGTGTGTGTGTGTATGTGTGTGTGGTGTGTATAGTGTGTGTGTGTGTATAGGGTGTATGTGTGTGTGTGTGTGTGTGCGTGTGTGTGTGTATAGTGTGTGTGTGTAGTGTGTGTGTGTGTGTGTGTGTATAGTGCGTGTGTGTGTGTGTGTGTGTGGTTCCTCTGCTGCCCTTGTGCTCTTGAGCCTGACATTTCCCGTGTGCTCTGTGTTTCAGACGCTTCAGGAGAGCGACCTGGAGAGCAGCGCGTCGTCACCTCGAGGGAGTCGAGTCCGAGACGAGTCGAGCAGCCCCTGGCAGGTGCAGGTCGTTTAGTCCTGGTTTAGACCTGGTTTAGTTCTGGTTTAGTCTTGGTTTAGTTCGGGTTTAGTCCTGGTTTAGTCTTGGTTTAGTTCTGGTTTAGTCCTGGTTTAGTCTTGGTTTAGTTCTGGTTTAGTCTTGGTTTAGTTCTGGTTTAGTCCTGGTTTAGTCTAGGTTTAGTTCTGGTTTAGTATTGGTGTAGTCCTGGTTAAGTCCTGGTTTAGTCTTGGTTTAGTTCTGATTTAGTTCTGGTTTAGTCGTGGTTTAGTCCTGGTTTAATCCTGGTTTAGTCCTGGTTTAGTCTTGGTTTAGTCCTGGTTTAGTCCAGGTTTATCAATCAATCAATCAAACTTTATTTGTATAGCACTTTTCATACATTTAAAATGTAGCACAAAGTGCTTCACATGCAACAGAAAAATTACAATAATTAAAATCAAGAGCAACTCCCCCCCCATCCCTTTGTTTCATCCATATATACAACCATTTAAACATAAACATAAAAACAAAAACATAAAACTCCTAAAGGTTATTATAAAAATCAAAATGGAGACAAAGTAAAACAGTAATGATAATTTAATTTAGAATAAATAAATATAATAATAATAATAATAACAATAATTTAAGTTAAGACAGATAAAAGTTTCAATTAAAAGCTAAATTAAAAAGATACGTTTTGAGTTTACTTTTAAAAATCTGAACACTCGCAGCGGACCTCAGGTCCTCAGGTCGACTGTTCCACAAACGGGGACTATAAAAGCTGAATGACGCCTCAGTGTGAGTTTTAGTCTGGACTCTTGGGACAGTTAAAAGACGAGACCTGAGGACCTGAGAGTCCGAGAGGCTCATATGATAAAAGCAGATCAGATAAATAAATAGGACTAAGACCATTAAGAGCTTTATAAACTAATAAAAGAACTTTAAAATCTATCCTGAAGCTCACAGGAGCCAGTGCAGAGACTTCAGTACTGGGCTGATGTGCTCTCGCTTCCTGGTCCTCGTCAGCAGCTGCAGAGTTTTGGAGGAGCTGCAATGGAGCTGTAGATTTCTTTGGAAGACCAGAAAGGAGAGAATTACAGTAATCAACACGATTTGTAATAAACGCATGTATTAAAGTCTCTGCACTGGCTTGAGAGAGAAATGGTCTGACTCTGGCAATATTTTTTAGATGATAAAAACCGGATTTAGTGATGGACCTGATGTGTGGCTCAAAGCTAAGTTCACTATCAAGAGTAACTCCTAAACTCTTGACCCTCTCACAGGGGTTCAGTGAGTAGGTTTGGAGCTTAGCTTTGAGCCTCTCTCTCTGAGCTTCAGGACCAATAATTAAAACCTCAGTTTTGCCCTGGTTGAGCTGGAGGAAGTTTGCTGCCATCCAGGACTTAATATCTAAAATGCAGTTAAAAAGAGTGTCGATCGGGCTCAGGTCACCAGGAGACACGGCGATATAGAGCTGGTATCATCAGCGTAGCTATGAAAGTTAACACCGTGTCTCCTGCTGACCCGTCCTAGTGGCAGCATGTAAAGATTAAAAAGGGTTGGACCTAAAATTGAGCCTTGGGGAACACCGCACTCCATTTTACATTTTGCGGAGGAGTGTTCCCCAAGACTAACATAAAAATCCCTGTTTGTTAAAAAAGATTTGAACCAGTTAAAAACAGACCCAGAGAGACCGACTGCATAATGTATGTATCTAATAAAATCCAGTGGTCGACAGTGTCAAATGCTGCCGTGAGATCCAACAGCACCAGGACTGACAGGTTCTTCTTGTCCATGTTGGATCTTATATCATCTAGGATCTTTACTAGTGCAGTCTCTGTGCTGTGCTGAACTCTAAAACCAGATTGATGAATTTCAAAGATATTGTTGGCAATCATAAAATCATTAATTTGGTTAAAAACTATTTTCTCAAAAATTTTTCTTAAAAACGTCAGATTGGACACAGGTCTGTAGTTACTGAGCAGGGAGGGGTCCAAGTTGTCCTTTTTAAGCAGAGGTTTGACCATAGCAGTTTTGAGTGGTGTTGGAAAAACCCTGTCTGCAGCGACACATTTACAATGTTAAGGACTTCTTGGGCTAAAAAATTAAAAACTGATTTAAAAAGTGATGTAGGGATAGGATCTAAAAAACAAGTGGCTGGTTTCAATTGTAAAATAATTTTGTTAAGAGTCGTAACATCAACCAGGGCAAAACTATCAAGTGTGTTTGATAAAATCAAAGGACTTGTAATACAGATGTTACTTGGTTGGATCTGTTGCATTTCAGCTCTAATGGACTGTATTTTATTGCTGAAGAAAGTCAAAATCCTCACAGTTTGTGATGTTTGATGGCTCCTTCCAATTACGAACAGGGTCGATAACAGAACTAATCGTGGAGAATAGAATCCTGGGATTTTTAATGTTATTATTTATAAGTTGGGAGAGGTTTGCTTGTCTTTCACATTTCATACCATTATTGTATTTTCTCACTTGTTCACGGTAAATTTCATAGTTTATTGTAATTTTATTCTTGCGCCATTTTCTTTCTGCTTTTCTACAATTTTGCTTCAGTTGTCTTGTTTTTTCATTTTTCCAAGGAGAGGTTTAGTCCTGGTTTAGTCTTGGTTTAGTGCAGGTTTAGTCCTGGTTTAGTCTTGGTTTAGTGCAGGTTTAGTCCTGGTTTAGTCTTGGTTTAGTGCAGGTTTAGTCCTGATTTAGTCTTGGTTTAGTCCTGGTTTAGTCTTGGTTTAGTTCGGGTTTAGTCCTGGTTTAGTCTTGGTTTAGTCCTGGTTTAGTCTTGGTTTAGTTCGGGTTTAGTCCTGGTTTAGTTCTGGTTTAGTCTTGGTTTAGTCTTGGTTTAGTTCTGGTTTAGTCCTGGTTTAGTCTTGGTTTAGTTCTGGTTTAGTCCTGGTTTAGTCTTGGTTTAGTTCTGGTTTAGTCTTGGTTTAGTCCAGGTTTATTCCTGGTTTAGTCTTGGTTTAGTTCTGATTTAGTTCTGGTTTAGTCGTGGCTTAGTCTTGGTTTAGTCTTGGTTTAGTCCTGGTTTAGTCCTGGTTTAGTCTTGGTTTAGTCCTGGTTTAGTCCTGGTTTAATCCTGGTTTAGTCCAGGTTTAGTCTTGGTTTAGTTCTGGTTTAGTCTTGGTTTAGTCTTGGTTTAGTTCTGGTTTAGTCCTGGTTTAGTCTTGGTTTAGTGCAGGTTTAGTTCTGGTTTAGTCTTGGTTTAGTTCTGGTTTAGTCCTGGTTTAGTCTTGGTTTAGTCTTGGTTTAGTTCTGGTTTAGTCCTGGTTTAGTCTTGGTTTAGTTCTGGTTTAGTCTTGGTTTAGTTCTGGTTTAGTCTTGGTTTAGTTCTGGTTTAGTCTTGGTTTAGTCTTGGTTTAGTTCTGGTTTAGTCCTGGTTTAGTCCAGGTTTCATCTTGGTTTAGTCCTGGTTTAGTCCAGGTTTCGTCTTGGTTTAGTTCTGGTTTAGTCTTGGTTTAGTCTTGGTTTAGTCTTGGTTTAGTTCTGGTTTAGTCTTGGTTTAGTTCTGGTTTAGTCTTGGTTTAGTCCTGATTTAGTCCCGGTTTAGTCTTGGTTTAGTCCTGGTTTAGTCCAGGTTTCGTCTTGGTTTAGTTCTGGTTTAGTCTTGGTTTAGTCTTGGTTTAGTTCTGGTTTAGTCTTGGTTTAGTTCTGGTTTAGTCCTGGTTTAGTCTTGGTTTAGTTCTGGTTTAGTCTTGGTTTAGTTCTGGTTTAGTCTTGGTTTAGTCCTGGTTTAGTCTTGGTTTAGTTCTGGTTTAGTCCTGGTTTAGTCTTGATTTAGTTCTGGTTTAGTCCAGGTTCAGTCCTGGTTTAGTCCATCTTTTCCAGCTCTTTTTCTCATTTTCTCCCTCAGACGTCTCAGAATCTCTCTCGTCGTTTGAGGGCGGAGCCTGTGCCTATGGGCCCGCCCCCTCCACCCAAAGCCACACCCACTCATGGGTTGAGTGACAGACCCAGAGCACCGCCCCCTCGTGGTTTGATTGACAAAAGGAGTGTGAGTGACAGCACGTTCCTCGAGAAACTGCACGCCGTCGAAGAAGAGCTGAGTGTCTGCGGACAGTCCTACCAGGTACTGACACTTAGACCGGGTCTAGACCAGGTTTAGGCCAGGTACTATGGACACAGTACTGGGTTAGTCCTCGTCTAGTCCTGAGTTAGACTGGAATTAGATCTGGTACTATAAGATCTGTGTTAGACCTCCTCCAGAGCCTGTTTAGTCCAGAATTTAGACCTGCTTCAGACCTAGTTCAGACCTGGTTTAATTCTGGTTTAGTCCTGGTTCAGACTTGGTTTAGTCCTGGTTCAGAGCTTGTTTCCTCTGTCAGCCCCTGCAGGACTCGTTGGACCTGATGGCGCGCAGGACTCGCTCTAAGCGCCCACTCACAGACGTTCCTTTGGGGCAGCTGGAGGCGGAGCTACGAGAACTCGCCCCGGACTTCAACGAGACCAGATCCTCCCTGGATCCGGACCAGGACCAGGACCAGGACCTGGAAGAGGACCGGGACTGGACCGACTGGCTCCGAGGACTCATGATGTCTGATGTGGAGGGTGAGTGTGAGTGTGAGTGTGAACGTGAGCGTGAACGTGAGCGTGAACGTGAGCGTGAACGTGAACGTGAGAGTGTGAATGTGAGAGTGAGCATGAATGTGAGAGTGAGCGTGTGTGAGCGTAAGCGTGAGTGAGACTGAGTGTGAATGTGACCGTGAGTGTGAGAGTGAGCGTGAGAGTGAACATGAGTATGAGTGTGTGTGAGCGTGAGAGTGAACATGAGTGTGAGAGTGAGCGTGAGAGTGAGCGTGAGAGTGAGCGTTAGTCTGAGCGTTAGTGTGAGCGTGAGTGTGTGTGAGCGTGAGTATGTGTGAGCGTGAGTGTGTGTGAGCGTGAGAGTGAGCGTGAGCGTGTGTGAGCGTGTGTGAGCGTGAGCGTGTGAGCGTGAGTGTGAGTGAGCGTGAGAGTGAGCGTGAGAGTGAGTGTGAGAGTGAGCATGAGTGAGCGTGAGAGTGAGCATGAGTGTGAGCGTGAGTGAGCATGAGAGTGAGCGTGAGAGTGAGCGTGAGAGTGAGCGTGAGAGTGAGCGTGAGAGTGAGCGTGAGTGTGAGCGTGAGTGTGAGCGTGAGTGTGAGCGTGAGTGAGCGTGAGTGAGCGTGAGCGTGAGTGTGAGCGTGAGTGTGAGTGTGTGTGAGCGTGAGTGAGCATGAGAGTGAGTGTGAGAGTGAGTGTGAGCGTGAGTGTGAGCGTGAGTGTGAGCGTGAGTGTGTGTGAGCGTGTGTGAGCGTGAGTGTGAGCGTGAGAGTGAGCGTGAGTGTGAGCGTGAGTGTGAGCGTGAGTGTGTGTGAGCGTGTGTGAGCGTGTGTGAGTGTGTGAGCGTGAGTGTGAGCGTGAGTGTGAGCGTGAGTGTGAGCGTGAGTGTGAGCGTGAGAGTGAGCGTGTGTGAGCGTGAGAGTGAGTGTGAGCGTGAGTGTGAGCGTGAGTGAGTGAGCGTGAGTGTGAGCGTGAGCGTGAGTGTGAGCGTGAGCGTGAGCGTGAGTGTGAGCGTGAGTGAGTGAGCGTGAGCGTGAGTGTGAGCGTGAGTGTGAGCGTGAGTGTGAGTGTGTGTGAGCGTGAGTGAGAGTGAGCGTGAGAGTGAACATGAGAGTGAACATGAGTGTGAGTGTGTGTGAGCGTAAGCGTGAGTGTGAACATGAGTGTTTACATGCAGCAGTGTCCTGGTTGCATCAGGATTCATGATGTGATGTTTCCGTGTGCACTGACACATCGGGTCATTCAGGTCCTTGTGATCAGATGGAGAGTCTCAGTTTAAGACAGAATCTTACAAATGCACAATACATCACTAATAGAGACGCAGTGTGTGTGTTGTCTGTGTGTGTGTGTGTGTGTGTGTGTGTATGTGTGTGTGTGTGTGTGTGTGTGTGTTTGATGTGTGTGTGTTTGTGTGTGTGTGTGTGTTTGTGTGTTGTGTGTGTTTAATCATGTGTGTTTGTTCAGAGGAGGCAGACGATGAGGACGACCCGGAGTATAACTTTTTGGCCGACGCAGATGAACCCGACCTGGAGGATTACAGAGACGACCGAGCGGTGAGGATCACCAGTGAGTACAACTGCCCCCAACAACTGCCCCCACTACCACTACTGCCCCTACAACTGCCCCCACTACTGCCCCAACAACTGCCCCCAACAACTGCCCCCAAACTGCCCCAAACTGCCCCCAACAACTGCCCCCCTACAACTGCCCCCTACAACTGCCCCCTACAACAACTGCCCCCAACAACTGCCCCCAACAACTGCCCCCTGTGTATTTGTGTTTCAGAGAGGGAGGTGTGTGAGCTGATGGAAGAGCTCTTTGAAACGGTCAGTGTTTTTCTGTTTTTCTGTTTTTGTGTTTCTTTATTTTCATTTTTACATTTAGAGTCTGAAAAATAAAACAACTTAATTTTTTAAATTTAAAGTTTAGAAAGTCAGTCTCTGTGACTCTGGCAGGTTGTGTGTGACTCTGGCAGGTTGTGTGTATGTTGTGTGTGACTCTGGCAGGTTGTGTGTATGTTGTGTGTGACTCTGGCAGGTTGTGTGTGACTCTGGCAGGTTGTGTGTGACTCTGGCAGGTTGTGTGTATGTTGTGTGTGACTCTGGCAGGTTGTGTGTATGTTGTGTGTGACTCTGGCAGGTTGTGTGTGACTCTGGCAGGTTGTGTGTGACTCTGGCAGGTTGTGTGTATGTTGTGTGTGACTCTGGCAGGTTGTGTGTATGTTGTGTGTGACTCTGGCAGGTTGTGTGTACGTTGTGTGTGACTCTGGCAGGTTGTGTGTACGTTGTGTGTGTCACATGTTGTGTAGATGTGTACTTTAACCCAGATGCCCTCCCTGCAGCTGAAGGAGGATCTGACGTCTCAGGACGTGGACGAAGAAGGACACGAAGAAGGACACGAAGAAGGACACGAAGAAGGACACGAAGAAGGACACGAAGAAGGACACGAAGAAGACGAGGAGACACTGGACACGCCCACCGCGCACACTCAGTCAGAACTACTACTACTACACATACTACTACTACACATACTACTACTACACATACTACTACTACAACACATACTACATATACTACTACTACACATACTACTACTACAACACATACTACATATACTACTACTACTACATATACTACTACTACTACAACACATACTACATATACTACTACTACTACACATACTACTATACTACTACTACTACAACACATACTACATATACTACTACTACACATACTACTACTACAACACATACTACATATACTACTACTACTACATATACTACTACTACTACAACACATACTACATATACTACTACTACTACAACACATACTACATATACTACTACTACAACACATACGACATATACTACTACATATACTACTACTACTACATATACTACTACTACTACAACACATACTACATATACTACTACTACTACTACACATACTACTACTACAACACATACGACATATACTACTACATAGCCTACTACTACTACATATACTACTACTACTACTACTACTACTACTACTACATATACTACTACTACTACTACTACTACTACTACTACTACTACTACTACTACTACTACTACTACTACTACTACTACTACTACTACTACTACTACTACTACTACTACTACTACTACTACTACTACTACTACTACTACATATACTACTACTACTACTACACATACTACTACTACTACATATACTACATATACTACTACTATTACACATACTACTACTACGTATACTACTACTACTACTACACATACTACTACTACACATACTACTACAACATATACTACTACTACTACTACACATACTACTACTACAACACATACTACATATACTACTACTACTACATATACTACTACTACTACATATACTACGTATACTACATATACTACTACTACATATACTACGTATACTACTACTACATATACTACGTATACTACTACTACTACACATACTACTACTACTACATATACTACTACTACTCTGTGTGTAGAATCCCTCCCTTTAACACACACACACCTGTAACACACACACACACACCTGTAACACACACACACACCTGTAACACACACACACGTAACACACACCTGTAACACACATACACACACCTGTAACACACACACACACACGTAACACACACACACACACACACGTAACACACACCTGTAACACACACACACACCTGTAACACACACCCACACCTGTAACACACACACATAGACACGCGCACACACACACACACTCACACACACCTGTAACACACACACACACCTGTAACACACACACCTCTGTAACACACACACACACACACACACACACACACCCTCTGTAACACACAAACACACACCTGTAACACACACACATAGACACGTGCGCGCACACACACACACACACCGGTAACACACACACCTGTAACACACACACACACATCTGTAACACACATACACACACCTGTAACACACACACACACACACACTCACCTGTAACACAACACACATAGACACGCGCACACACACACCTGTAACACTCTCTGGTCTGTGGTCTGTGGTCTGTGGTCTCTGGTCTAACTGTGGTCTGTGGTCTCTGGTCTCTGGTCTAACTGTGGTGTGTGGTCTCAGGTCTTCAGAAGTCCCGGTCTTGGTCCCAGGTCGGGTTTTGGGGTTGAGGACGGTCCGGCAGCAGTTGGAGTTTTTGCGTAAACACGTGAAGCCGACGTCGGCGCCGGAGTCTACGGAGTCTGTGAGTCTGTCCCTGAACGCAGCGCAGCAGAGGAGACTCCAGCAGCAGATACAGCAGGTACTGCAAATACTGCAAATACCACAAGTACTACTACTGCAAATACTACAAATACTACTACTGCAAATACTGCACATACTACTACTGCAAATACTGCACATACTACTACTGCAAATACTGCAAATACTACTACTACTGCAAATACTACTACTGCAAATACTGCACATACTGCACATACTACTACTGCAAATGATGTGTTATTATGTAAGTTATGGCATGTCAACATGGTTTGGTGACCTGTCAGTCAAACTTCAATCACAGATTTTTACCTTGACTAAAAGAGCAGGTAAAATAATGGGCGTGGTCCCGAGCTCACTTCAGATCATTTTTGAGGAGACTGTGAGGAAGCTCAGCAGGAAGATGATCAATGACCCAACTCATGTTCTTCAGTCAGTTTGAGTTGATGTCATCAGGCAGAAGGTTCAGGGTCCCAAACTCTCAACTGAACAGATTCAAATATTCTTTAGTGCAATTTGCTGTTCCTTTGCTAAACTCAGATAGTGCAGTTAAAAAATACTACTACAAATACTACTGCATGTTGTGGATTCGGCTGCAACTACAATGAAAAAATGTTTGAGCGATAATTTCAGTTAAAATGGTTTTACTGAAAAAATTTTGCCAGTGTCAAATCATATTTCTGTTACAACTCATGACTTTCTGTCTGACCTGATAATGTGTTTATAACACGTTTATAACACATCTATAACATGTTTATAACACGTTTATAACACATTTATAACACGTCTATAACACGTTTGTAACACGTTTGTAACACGTCTAACACGTTTGTAACACGTCTAACACGTTTGTAACACGTCTAACACGTTTGTAACACGTCTAACACGTTTGTAACACGTCTATAACACGTTTGTAACACGTCTATAACACGTTTATAACACGTCTATAACATGTTAATAACATGTTTAGAACTGGTAGCGTAGTGTCCATCAGCTGAGGTTTTCAAAGAACAACATTGTCCGTTGGAACAGAGAGATGGAGACATGGATGTGAACATCTGGTGCTACAACTGAAGGAAAATAATCCTTTTGGTTTTAAATAACAAATACAGTTTTTATAGTTTTTTAAACGTACAGATTTATTGTTTTGTAATTAATTCAATCTGAATATATCAATCTATCAAACTGTCATTTTCACTGTGTCATAACTAATGAATTAACCTTTTTATTTTTAACCCGTGTGTTTGTGTTTGTGTGTTTGTGTTTGTGTGTTTGCAGCATGTGCAGCTCCTGACCCAGATCCACCTCCTCTGTGCCCCAGTGCCCCCCCTCCAACAGCTCGCCCACACCACCACACACCTGCTGGTGAGAACTCAACCAGGACTGAACCAGGACTACACCAGGACTACACCAGGACTACACCAGGACTACACCAGGACTACACCAGGACTACACCAGGACTGAACCAGGACTGAACCAGGGGCCTCATTTATAAAAACTGCGCAGGAGTTGTCGTAAGTTCGTGCGTACGCCTAGTAGCTACGACAAGGCGTGCGCCACGCAAACTCCATATTTAGAAAACCCACCGCACGCACCAAACCACACAATCTTTGCTTTATAAATCCCACCTGCAACTACAATTTGCGCACGTAAACCCACGTCACGTCACGCCCCCTCACACCTCCACCTCACCATAAAAGGAGCAGGTAAAGTGACTCGATTTCCCTAAACATGAGCCGATAATCAGTGGGTTTGACCGAGACACGCGGGACAGAGGGAGGAGGACGCTCCACGCAGCACCACGTGATCACGACAAAGACTTTATTAAACAAGGTTTAATAAGTAAATACAAAACTAAAAGTGACAACAATGACTCATCTTTTCATTTAATCATTTTTTATAATATTTAGGCAGCACATCTTTGCAGTAAAGACCATGTGTTTTTTCGCTGTTTCAAGAGTTTTATCGCTATATTTTTAAGTCTGTCTGTGAAGTGTGTGAGGACTGGTCCTGTATTTATGCACATACACGTAGATACGTGCACGCGCTGATCTGAACGGTCAAATTATGAGCGCGTGCGAGAGATTCAGATGCCCTCCCCTGGAGAGCGAAAGGAGCGAGGGAAGGACACGAGGACACAGATTTAACATGAAACACATCAGATACAGATGTTATTCTGCCAACTAAAGTCCACACGAAACATCCAAACTGCTGAACCTGTGAGTGTGGGTCTGTGAGTGTGGGTCTGGGTCGGGGGCATTATTCTGTTCTTCATATTGTCAGAGAGCAGCTCTCATGTACAAGAGTTCTCCATTACACAAAAATGTAGGGATGATTTTGGTTGGGGTCAGGTTCGGGCAGTAGGCTTCGTCTTGTCCGCAGACTCAGGTCACTCTGGCGCTCAGTGCGTAAAGACTAGAGTAAAAGTGTTAAAGTTTTGTTCATTAAATCAAAGCCTGGCTCCTGCTGCGTCCAAGGGAAGAGTTTTTCTCTCAGGTCGGGTCATTATTTCGTCCTCTGTGTTGGTCACAGTCTGTGTTCTATAGAAGTCTATGGTCGCGGTGTGGACTGTGGGACTGCGCTACACCAAGTCCGGGAACGTGGCCGCGCTCGTGCACGAGTGTCAAATGTATAATATTGTGGAGAATAATGAGTGGAATAAACAGCCCTTCTCCGTATTTTGGCGAACCAAACACTTAAATGCGCAAATCTGAAGGTCATTCTTCTATATACGTGGATTTTCTGATCAAACTCTTCCTCAAACTCTGTTCACTTCTGCTTCTCTCCACGAGTGTCGCTTTTTCCCCGTGTCTCCAGACTTTGCGTAGAACTTACAGGAGTCCAGAGTTGGCGTAGAGTTAAGCAAAGAGCCACGCCTTAGGCGGGTTTTATAAATACCGCGGTTGGCGTAGGAAGCGCACACACGCAAGGATTTTTGCGTAAGCAAGATTTATAAATGAGGCCCCAGGACTACACCAGGACTACACCAGGACTACACCAGGACTACACCAGGACTACTACACCAGAACTGAACCAGGACTAATGTGTCTTTCACATCGCTAGTTGGATTATTTGGGTTGTACCAGACAGTAAAATAGTTCTTCTGTTGCATCTAGACTCCAAAACACCTCATCCTTTCACAATAAAACACCTCATCCTTTCACAATAAAACACCTCATCCTTTCGCAATAAAACACCTCATCCTTTCACAATAAAACACCTCATCCTTTCGCAATAAAACACCTCATCCTTTCGCAATAAAACACATCGTCCTTTCACGATAAAACATCTCATCCTTTCACAATAAAACACCTCATCCTTTCACAATAAAACACATTGTCCTTTCACAATAAAACACCTCATCCTTTCACAATAAAACACATTGTCCTTTCACAATAAAACACCTCATCCTTTCGCAATAAAACACCTCATCCTTTCACAATAAAACACCTCATCCTTTCGCAATAAAACACCTCATCCTTTCACAATAAAACACATCATCCTTTCGCAATAAAACACATCGTCCTTTCACAATAAAACACATCCGGTCCTGCCGCGATCCGGACTCTCTGACTCCGATCTGGTTGTGATCCAGGTGGAACTGGACTTCCTGGGTCAGGGGGCGGAGCTGGTGATGTCATCGCGTGGTTTCCATGGACGCAGCAGCGCATTCAGAGTGTGTAACCTGCAGGGGGCGCTAGACCTGCTCGAAGAAACCAGAGTCCAACCCATCGAGTACAAGAGCCCCGCCCCCCGAGTGGACAAGAGAGGACACAGTAAGACAAGGACCGAGACCAGGACCAGGACTAAACCAGGACTGTACAGAACCACCCTCGAGTGGACAAGAGAGGACACAGTAAGACCAGGACTGGGACTGGATCTGGACTGGGAGACTCTCTCCTCTCCTCTGATTGGCTGACTTCTCCCCTCTCTCCTCTGATTGGCTGACTCCTCCCCTCTCTCCTCTGTTTGGCTGACTCCTCCCCTCTCTTCTGATTGGTTGTAGTAAAGTCGTACCCGCTGGTGCCCGCTGAGCTCGCCTGGTTCTTCGCCACTCGCTCCGTCTTCCTCTACCCCGAGCTGCTGCCGTGTGCCAGTCTGGACCCCGCCCTCTACTGCCCCCGCAGGAGCCACGCCTTCACCCCCGCCGAGGACTGGTCCGTCACGTAACACTGCTCTACTAGTATTTGTAGTACTCACCTGTGTACTTATTCTTCAGTCTGTTGGTGTTGGGGCTGCAGTAGTAGTAGTAGTAGTAGTAGTAGTAGTAGTATTTGTAGTATTTGTAGTACTGACGTGTGTACTTGTACTTCAGTCTGTTGGTGTTGGGTCTGCGGTCGTTGGACGGGACGCTCGACTCGGTTCGTTTACTTTCTCAGTTCGTTTTGAGGAAAAGTCCGGATCAAATCCGACGCCACATCCTGCAGTGCTGTCGCCACGGCAACAGAGACAACGTCGTCAAGGTAACGCACACGCTATACACACACACACTGTACACACACACTATATACACACACTGTACACACACAACAACACACACATTACACACACGCTATGCACACACACTGTACACACACATACACACTATACACACACACTGTACACACACTGTACACACACACACACACACACACACTGTACACACACTGTACACACACACTATATACACACACTATATACACACACTATATACACATACTATATACACACACTGTACACACACAACAACACACACGCTATGCACACACACTATACACACACATACACGCTATACACACACATACACACTGTACACACACACACTGTACACACACACTGTACACACACTGTACACACATATACACACTATACACACACACTGTACACACACTGTACACACACACACTATACATACACATACACACTATACACACACACACTGTACACACACACTGTACACACACATACACACTATACACACACACTGTACACACACTGTACACACACACACACACACACACACTATACACACACACTGTATACACACACTGTACACACACACTGTACACACACACACACACTGTACACACACACTGTACACACACACTATACACACACACTGTACACACACACTGCACACACACACTGTACACATACACTGCACACAGACACTGTACACATACACTGCACACAGACACTGTACACATACACTGTACACACACACACACTATACACACACACTGTACACACACACACACTGTACACACACACTGTACACACACACTGTACACACACACACACACACTGTACACACACACACACACACACACTGTACACACACACTGTACACACACACTGTACACACACACACACACACTATAGACACACACTGTACACACACACTGTACACACACACTGTACACACACACTGTACACACACACACACTGTACACACACACTGTACACACACACTATACACACACACTGTACACACACACTGCACACATACACTGCACACACACACTGTACACATACACTGCACACACACACTGTACACATACACTATACACACACTGTACACACACACACTGTACACACACACACACACACACACTATACACACACACTGTACACACACTGTACACACACACACACACACACACTGTACACACACACACACACACTGTACACACACACACACACACACACACACACACTGTACACACACACTGTACACACACACACTATACACACACACTGTACACACACACACACACTGTACACACACACTGTACACACACACACACACTGTGTACACACACACACACTGTGTACACACACACACACACACTGTACACACACTATACACACACACACACCCTATACACACACACACTGTACACACACACTGTACACACACACACACTATACACACACTTTACACACACACTGTACACATACACTATACACACACACACTGTACACACACACTACACACACACACACTGTACACACACACACACTATACACACACACTGTACACATACACACACTATACACACTCACTGTACACACACTACACACACACACTATACACACACACTGTACACACACTGTACACACACACTATACACACACACTGTACACATACACACACTACACACACACTATACACACACACTATACACACACACGGTACACACACACTGTACACATACACACACTATACACACACACACACTATACACACACACTGTACACATACACACACTATACACACTCACTGTACACACACTACACACACACACTATACACACACACTGTACACATACACACACTACACACACACTGTACACACACACACACACACACACACACACACACTGTACACACACACTATACACACACACTGTACACATACACACACTACACACACACTATACACACACACTGTACACACACACACACTATACACACACTGTACACACACACTATACACACACACTGTACACATACACACACTACACACACACTTTACACACACACGGTACACACACACTGTACACACACACGGTACACACACACACACACACACTATACACACACACACACGGTACACACACACACAATATACACACACACACACTATACACACACACACACACTATACACACACACACACACACACTATACACACACACACACACACTATACACACACACACTATACACACATACACACACACACACACGCTATACACACACACACTATACACACATACACACACACACACACACGCTATACACACACACTACACACACACACACACACTATACACACACACACATTGTACACACGCTATACACATACACACATTATACACACATGTGTTGTGTGTTTCAGGCGTACAGGAGGGGGGTGTGTTGTTGTGTGCTTCAGTTGTGCGTTGTGTGTTGTTGTTGTGTGTTTCAGTTGTGCGTTGTGTGTGTGTGTGTGTGTGTGTGTGTTTGAGGTGCGTACAGGAGGGGTGTGTGTGTGTGTGTGTGTGTTGTTGTGTGTTTCAGGCGTACAGGGGTGTGTGTGTGTGTTGTTGTGTGTTTCAGTTGTGCGTTGTGTGTGTTGTGTGTTACAGGCGTACAGGAGGGGGTGTGTGTGTTGTGTGTTTCAGGCGTTGTGCGTTGTGCGTGTGTGTGTGTGTGTGTTTCAGGCGTACAGGAGGGGGGGGTGTGTGTGTTGTTGTTGTGTGTTTCAGTTGTGCGTTGTGTGTGTTGTGTGTTTCAGGCGTACGGGGGTGTGTGTGTGTGTTGTGTGTTTCAGTTGTGCGTTGTGTGTGTTGTGTGTTTCAGGCGTACGGGGGTGTGTGTGTGTGTTGTGTGTTTCAGTTGTGCGTTGTGTGTGTTGTGTGTTTCAGGCGTACGGGGGTGTGTGTGTGTGTTGTGTGTTTCAGTTGTGCGTTGTGTGTGTTGTGTGTTTCAGGCGTACGGGGGGGTGTGTGTTGTTGTTGTGTGTTTCAGTTGTGCGTTGTGTGTGTTGTGTGTTTCAGGCGTACAGGAGGAGGGGGTGTGTGTGTTGTTGTTGTGTGTTTCAGTTGTGCGTTGTGTGTGTTGTGTGTTTCAGGCGTACAGGAGGAGGGGGTGTGTGTGTTGTGTGTTGTTGTTGTGTGTTTCAGTTGTGCGTTGTGTGTGTTGTATGTTTCAGGCGTACAGGAGGAGGGTGTGTGTGTGTTGTGTGTTGTTGTTGTGTGTTTCAGTTGTGCGTTGTGTGTGTTGTGTGTTTCAGGCGTACAGGAGGAGGGGGTGTGTGTGGTCGATGCCCAGAGCCTGTTCCCCTCAGACGGAGCTGCGCCCCCCGGTGGAGAGACACGAGCGCTGCCTCCCCCTGTGGATCGCTGTAGGTTTGACCCCTGACCCCAGCTCTGACCCCAGGTTGTGTTTCCGTGTGCTTGGTTCTAACCTGTGTGTGTTGTGTGTGTGTGTGTTGTGTGTGTGTGTGTGTTGTGCGTCTGTGTGTGTTGTGTGTGTGTGTTGTGTGTGTGTGTGTGTGTGTGTGTGTGTGTGTGTGTTGTGTGTGTGTGTGTGTGTGTGTGTGTGTGTGTGTGTGTGTGTGTTGTGTGTGTGTGTGTGTGTGTGTGTTGTGTGTGTGTGTGTGTGTTGTGTGTGTGTGTGTGTGTGTGTGTGTGTGTGTGTGTGTGTGTTGTGTGTTGTGCGTCTGTGTGTTGTGTGTGTGTGTTGTGTGTGTGTTGTGTTGTGTGTCTGTTGTGTGTGTGTGTTGTGCGTGTTGTGTGTGTGTGTTGTGCGTGTTGTGTGTGTGTGTTGTGTGTCTGTGTGTTGTGTGTGTTGTGTGTCTATGTGTGTGTCTATGTGTGTGTGTGTGTTGTGTGTGTGTGTTGTGTGTCTGTGTGTTGTGTGTGTGTTGTGTGTCTATGTGTGTGTCTATGTGTGTGTGCGTGTTGTGTGTGTGTGTTGTGTGTCTGTGTGTTGTGTGTTGTGTGTGTGTTGTGCGTCTGTGTGTGTGTCTATGTGTGTCTGTGTGTTGTGTGTGTGTGTGTTGTGTTGTTGTGTGTGTGTGTGTGTGTGTGTGTGTGTGTGTCTGTGTGTGTGTTGTGTGTGTTTGTGTGTGTGTGTGTGTGTGTGTGCGTCTGTGTGTGTTGTGTGTGTGTGTGTGTGTGTGTTGTGTGTGTGTGTGTGTGTGTGTGTGTGTGTCGTCTGTGTGTGTGTGTGTGTGTGTGTGTTGTGTGTGTGTGTGTGTTGTGTGTCGTGTCTGTGTGTGTGTGTGTGTGTGTGTTGTGCGTCTGTGTGTGTTGTGTGTGTGTTGTGCGTCTGTGTGTGTGTGTGTGTGTGTTGTGTTGTGTGTGTGTGTGTTGTGTGTGTGTGTTGTGCGTGTTGTGTGTGTGTGTTGTGTGTCTGTGTGTTGTGTGTCTATGTGTGTGTCTATGTGTGTGTGTTGTGCGTCTGTGTGTGTGTGTGTTGTGCGTCTGTGTGTTTGTGTTGTGCGTCTGTGTGTGTGTTGTGTGTGTGTGTGTTGTGCGTCTGTGTGTGTTGCGTGTGTGTTGTGTGTGTGTGTTGTGTGTGTTGTGCGTCTGTGTGTGTGTTGTGTGTCTGTGTGTGTGTGTGTGTGTGTGTGTTGTGTGTGTGTGTGTTGTGCGTCTGTGTGTGTTGTGCGTCTGTGTGTTGTGTGTGTGTGTTGCGTGTGTGTTGTGTGTGTGTTGTGTGTGTTGTGCGTCTGTGTGTGTGTGTTGTGCGTCTGTGTGTGTTGTGTGTGTGTGTTGTGCGTTCCAGAGGAGTCTCCCGGTGCTCCACGCCGCTCTTCGTCGTATGAACTCCTTGGCTCCGCCCCCCTGCAGCACGCCCCGCCCCCGCTGCAGTCAGCTGACCCTGCTGCGCTCTGATTGGTCCGGACCGTTTCCTGCGGGGACTTGTTTCCCGCCGCGACTCCCCAAAGAACAACTCGACTTTCGACGAATCGGCTTCGTCCTGCTGCACCCGCCCCCCGACAACCGGCCAATCACAGCGCAGGGGGAGGAGCCAATCACAGAGCGGGAGGAGGAGCCAATCACAGCGCAGGGGGAGGAGCCAATCACAGCGCGGGAGGAGGAGCCAATCACAGCGCGGGAGGAGCCAATCACAGCACAGGGGGAGGAGCCAATCGCAGCGCAGGGGGAGGAGCTGTCAGAGTCGGAAACAGGAAGCGTCTCGTCCAATGAGGAGCCAGAGTCTGACACAGACACCTCCCAGCGGGACTCAGACTCCCAGCATGCCCCGGGGCAGAGCACAGGATGTGATGTCACAGAGGAGCGGGAGGGGCTGGTGCGAGCGCAGAACGTCTGTGTGACCCACGGCAAACGAGTCGCCGTCTGGACCAGGTCAGAACCCTCTGACCGACCCCCGTGTGACCTCTGACCCCTGTGTGACCTCTGACCCCCGTGTGACCTCTGACCCCCGTGTGACCTCTGACGACCCCCGTCTGACCCTCGTGTGACCTCTGACTGACCCCCGTCTGACCCTCGTGTGACCTCTGACCCCCGTGTGACCTCTGACCCCCGTCTGACCCTCGTGTGACCTCTGACTGACCCCCGTCTGACCCTCGTGTGACCTCTGACTGACCCCCGTCTGACCCCCGTGTGACCTCTGACCCCCGTCTGACCCTCGTGTGACCTCTGACTGACCCCCGTCTGACCCTCGTGTGACCACTGACCCCCGTGTGACCCTCGTCTGACCTCTGACCCTGTCTGACCCCCGTGTGACCTCTGACTGACCCCCATGTGACCTCTGACCAAAGATAAAACAGACACTGGGTTTTGTGCATCAATTTATTTGACCCAAATCAAACACTTTGATTTGAAACATAATTTCACTTTTCTCACACTTTTCTCTCGTGTGACACAGGGAGTCGGACCGACAGCTCCTATTGGCCGTTCAGACGACAGGAGCCAATCAGAGCACGTTCAGGGGCGTGTCCTCACGGCTCGGAGACAAGACGCCCCGACAGGTGAACGCGCTCCTCATCTTCATCATCCTCATCCTCCTCATCTTCATCCTCATCATCAATAATAATAATAATAATAATATAATAATAATAATAATCATAATCAGATTATTCCAAATCCAAACCCTCGTCTTTATTCACTGTTGTATTTGTCAGATCTTATGTAGATTCACTCTGACCTCTGACCTCTGACCTCTGGTTCTCCAGGTCAGGCTGCGGTTCCGTGACCTCATGACCCTCTTCCACTCGTCCAATCACAGAGCAGCGTCCGGCTCCATGCAGGAACCAATCAGACGACAGAAGGCCCCAGACTGACGGACCAATCACAGCGCAGCGTCTTTATTTACACATTTACACAAAAACATCTGGGTTTTATTTTGAAATGTCTCTGGACTTTGTTTTATTTTGAAATGTCTCTGGACTTTGTTTTATTTTGAAATGTCTCTGGACTTTACTTTGAAAAGTTCATCATGTCAAAATAAGAGCGCCTTTGTTATTTTATTTTGAAAGTCTCTGTTTTTAATAAAACCTGAACTCCACAACTTTGTTTGTGACGCTTCTCAACTCAGATCTGTTCCTCAAACTGTTCCTCATGTTTGTTTGTTCGTTTGTTTGTTTGTTTCTTGGGGCCGTGTGCAGCTGCATCAGATGACATCATCACAGCCCTCTGCTCT